ACCTGCTGGGCTCCGGCGATCCTTTCACCTCAGCCTTCCAAGTAGCTGGAAATACAGGCGCGCACTACCACGCCCGGCTAATTTTTGATTTATTGTAGAGATGAGATTTTGCCAAGTTGCCAGGTGGGTCACGAACCCGCTGGGTCATGAACCCGCTGGGTCACGAACCCGCTGGCTCAGCAATTCACTCACCTCAGCCTCCCAAAGGTGCGGGATTACAGGCTGAGCCACCGAGCCCGACTAGCACGGCTAATTTATAAAAAAATTTTTGTAGAGACGAGGTCTCACTATGTTGCCTAGGCTGGTCTGAACTCCTGGGGCTCAAGCAATCCTCCCACCTTAACCTCCCAGTGTGCTGGGATTACAGGCATGAGCTACTGTGCCTGACTGCGACTGACAGATTATACAAGTGTCTCTCTTTTTTTGAACAAGTTAAGAAGTAAACTCAGCAACAAACGTTTCTAGAGCAGTGCCCAGGGCTAGATCTCCCATTTGTTTTGGAATCCCTCATTCAACTAAGGATTTTGTTGCTTGATCTAGCTAGAAGTGTTGCTGATTATGTCATTATAATATAGGAGCATTTGCCTATTAATATTAAAGAATATGCCAGGTATGGTGGCTCAAGTCCCAGAACTTTGGGAGGCCGAGGTGAGAGGATTGCCTGATATCACGGGTTCGAGACCAGCCTGGGCAACTTGGTGAGCCCTGGTCTCTACAAGAAATGAAAAAAATAAGCCGGGTGTGGTAGTAATTGCCTATAATTCCAGCTACTTGGAAGGCTGAGGCAGAAGGATCACCTGAGCAGGCTGAGGCTGTGGTGGCCGTGAGCATACCACTGCACTCCAGCCTGGGTGACAGAGTGAGACTCCAACTCAGAAAAATAATATTTAATGTAAAGGAGAATTGCAGTGCAGAGAGATTAAATAAATTGTCCAGGTGGCCTGTCTTGCTTTAAAATGCACACTATCTGGTAGCGCGCGCCTGTAGTTCCAGCTACGTGGAAGGCTGAGGCGAAAGGATCGCCGGAGCCCAGCTGGTCAAGGCTGCGGTGGCCGGGAGCAGCCACTGCACTCCAGTCTGGGCGACTGAGTGAGACTCCAACTCAAAAAAAACAAAAAACAACAACAACAACAACAAAAATTCATATCACCTTCCATTCAATTACAGGTAATTTTTAGATGGTGGAAGATCTCTCTAAGGAGTGAGTATCGATCAACAAAACCTGGAGAAACAAAAGAAACTCATGAAGACTTCCTAGAGAATTCCAATCTTCAAGGTAAGGAACATATTAAATACTTACTGCTGTTAAGTTCTTTTTAGTTAGTGATTTGTCAGTTTCAAATATATCATTATTTGAAATATTGATATGTAATTATGTACTTGAATTTATAAAAAACAAAATTGTTAACGTATTCTGAAATTTAATTTATTTTGGAAAAAAAAATTTTTTTTTGGTCTGGCTCTGTAGCCCAGGTTGGATTACAGTGGCACAGTCATAGCTCACTATAACCTCCAATTCTTAGGCTCAAGTGATCCTCCCACCTTAACTCCTAAAGTGGCTGGGATTATAGGCATGCACCACCCTACCTGGCTAATTTTTTTTCTTTGTGTTTTTGGGTAGAGATGGGGGTCTCTCTATGTTGCCCCGGCTGGTCTTGAACTCCTGGTCTCAAGCGATCTTCCCATCTCAGCCTCCTTAAAGTGATGGAATTATAGGCGTGAGCCACAGTGCCTGGGCTGTGCATAGTGGTTCATGCCTGTAATCCCTGTACTTTGGGAGGCTGAGGCAGAAGTATCTCTTGAACCCAGAAGTTTGAGACTGCAGTGAGCTATGATTGCATTACTGTATTCCAGTCTAAACGACAGAGTAAGATCATGTCTCCATAAAATGAAAAAAAAAAAGATTCCAGGTTAACATGTAAATTCTATTAATGAAGTTAAATCAGGTAAATATGATTTTTTGCCATAATGTTTATGAATTGGGCAATGCCAAACCACAAATAGTGTGGGCTCCACTGAGGGGGCTGGAGGGAAAACATCGTGTAAGGTGTTTTCAGAAATAAGAAAAAGAAAATATTTGATTGGTTAAAGTGGGAAGTCCGTAGATGTTAGTAAGTGACTTCTGACTGGTGAAGTCTCTTCTTAGAGGTTAGTTGGCAGTTTCTGATTGGATAAGCTTAAGTTTGTTTTTATGTGCTACAACCATCCATTCTGAGTTGGTTTGCTTACATAAGTACTCAGGGCACTGGAGACATCTCAGCCTAATGCCCTCCCAACTCGTTATTTGAACACTTCTCAATATAAAAGTTTCAAACATAAAATATAGACAGAAGCCGGGTGTGGTGGCTCGTACCTGTAATCCTAGCATTTTGGGAAGCCAAGGTGAGAAGATTGCCTGAGCTCAGAGGTTCAAGACCAGCCTGGGCAACTTGTTGAGACCTCATCTCTACAATAAACCAAAAAATTAGCCAGGCATGGTGATGCATGCCTATAGTTTCCCGCTACTTGGAAGACTGAGGCAGAAGGATCACCTGATCCCAGCAGGTCAAGGGTATGGTGGCCATGAGTGTGCCACTACAATCCAGCCTGAGTGACAGAGTGAGACTCCAACTTAAAAAAATATATAATATATTTTTCTAGATGTCCCCATGGTTTGCTCCTTATTCAGATCTCTGCTGAAACTGCCTTACTAGAGAGCTAGAGATCATTCCCCTGACTACTAGATAGAAAATAACATCCTCCTGTTTACTCTTGAATATTATGTCTCCTAGAACACTCGTCAAGATATACTATACCATATATTTACTTATTTATTTGCTTGTCTGTCTCCATCATTAGAATGCAAAGCTCCATTACAGTAGAGACTTTTGCTTTGCTTGCTGATAGTTCTTCAGTACCCATGAAGAAATACCTGTCATATAGCTCAGTAAATATTTGATGTATGAATTATTTGTGAATAATTATCAGAGAGTAGGACAAAAGTGAACTCTAAAGATATCCTTCTAAATTTTAAGCCTTGTTCTAAAGAGTTCAGGTTTCTGATCTATAGTTTGTTTAGATGGTTTGGGGCAATTTACACTAAGATTAATTAAAATCACACGACCAGATTGATAGTTTTAAAATAAACTCAGGGATCATGTCTGATTAATCATCATATATCCAAGATCAAGTACATGTTGGTACTTTTTTGGGTTTTTTTTGAGGGGCACGACCACTGCAGCCTCAACCTGCTAGGCTCAGGTTCCTTTCACCTCACCCTTCCAAGTAGCTGGAATCACAGGTGCGTGCCACCACATCCAGCTAATTTTTTGATTTTTTGTAGAGACGAGGTCTTGCCAAGTTGCCCAGGCTGGCCTTGAACCCCTGGACTCAGGCAGTCCTCTTGCCTCTGCCTCCCAGGGTGCTGGGATTACAGGAGTGAGCCACTGTGTCCCACTGTATATGTTTGTTAAAGTAAATAACTGTGCCAGGCATGGTGGCTTACATCTGTAATCCCAACACTTTGGGAGGCTGAGACAGAAGGATAAATTGAGGCCAGGAGTTTGAGACCAGCCTGGGAAGGAAGAAAGGTGAGAGGGAGGGAGGGAGAAGGAAGGAAGGAAGGAAGGAAGGAAGGAAGGAAGGAAGGAAGGAAGGAAGGAAGGAAGGAAGGAAGGAAGACACATTTTCTGATAAATTAATATTGCCTAAAATAACTTTAAAATCACTGTGCTCAAACTATATTTTCATGACTCTAAATTCATATAAGAGCAAAAGGAGTACATTTTAGCACTCACTAATATGTTTCTACTCTTGGTGGTTGTAAGCTGCATTCAATTAATAAATCATATAAATCTGTTTAGTTTGCTAGGGCTGTCATAACAAAATACCACAGACGGTGGCTTAAACTACAGAAATTTTTTTTGTGTGTGTGTTGGAGTCTCACTCTGACGCCCAGGTTGGAGTGCAGTGGCACGCTCACAGCCATGCAGCCTCAACCTGTTGGGCTCAAGCAATCCTTCTGCCTCAGCTTTTCAAGTAGCTGGAACCAAAGGCATGCACCACCACACCCAGCACTTTTTTTGATTTATTATTGAAATGTGGTCTCTCCAGGTTGCCCAAGCTGGTCTAGAACCCCTGGACTCAAGTAATCCTCTCACCTTGGCCTCCCAAATTGCTGGGATTATAGGCGTGAGCCACTGTGCCAAGCCAAACTACAGAAATTTATCTTTGTCATCTCACAGTTCTGGAAGTTAGAAGTCCAAGATCAAGGTGTTGGTAGGTCTGATTTCTTCTGAGACTTCTCTGCTTGACTTGTAGATGGCCATCTTCTTACTGTATCCCCACCTAGCTTTTTCTCTGTACCCCATCCCTGGTGTCCTTTAGGGTTTACTAATCTATTCTTTTTGTAAGGACATCCATCAGATTGAATTAGCTCCCACCCTTATGACCGCATTTAATCTAATTACCTCTCTAAACTCCCCAACTCCAAATAGGGTCACATTCTGAGGTACTGGGGTTTAGGGCTTTTAGGATGGAAGGACACAATTCACCCCATAACAAAATCCAAAATCCATGTAGAGTATTTTCTGTAATTTTGTATTTATTTGTTAAATTCATAATTTTAAACAATTCTTTTTTTTTTTTGAGTTGGAGTTTCACTTCGTCGCCCAGACTGGAGTGCAGTGGCCGCTCCCGGCCACCGCAGCCTCGACCCACTGGGCTCTGGTGATCCTTCCACCTCAGCCTTCCGAGTAGCCGGAATTACAGGCGTGTGCTACAACACCCAGCTGATTTTTGATTTATTGTAGAGATGAGGTCTTGCTGCCCAGGCGGGTCTCGAACCCGCGGGCTCAGGCAATCCACTCACCTCAGCTTCCCAAAGGCGTGGGATTATAGGCTGAGCCACCAAGCCCGGCTGTTAAATTCATAATTAATGATTGTATTCATTCCCTGTTGTTGCTATAACAAATTCCAAAAACTTTAAGACTTAAACAATAAAAATGTATATTATTTACAATACTGGAGTTCAGAAGTCTCACTGGACTAAAATCAAGGCGTTGGTAGAACTGTTCCTTCTAGACACTTTAGGAAGAATCTGTTTCCTTGCCTTCTGTAGGTTCTAGAGGCTGCCTGTTTCCTTGACTGTGACCCTTTGTCTATCTTCAAGGCCAGCAATGAACAGTCGTGTCTTTCTCATGCAGCAGTGTGGCATCATTCTGACATTGCCTCAGTGGGCCATATCTTCTTTTGACTTTGACTTTCCTGCCTTCCTCTTTTTTCTTATAAGGACTTTGTAGTAACATTGAACCCACCAGATAATCCAGGATTATCTCCCCATCTCAAGATCCTTAATTGAATCATATTTGCACAGTCACTTTTGTCATATTCACAAGGTCCAGAGATTAGGATGTGGACATCTTGGGGAGAAGCATTGTTCTGCTTACCACAGTGATATATCTTACAGTAGCCTAAATTGCTAAATTAAAAACATTGCTGAATTTTTTCTCTGGATTTGCATTTGTAAAAGATAAAACTGTTATGTTTATTATTTTAAATGTCATTCATATACTACGAAGTATAGAGAACTGTTAACATGGTGATTAAGAGTGTTGCTTAATACCTAGACTTAAATCCTGGCCCCAAACCTACTAGGTGCATGACTTTAGGCAAATTACTTAATCTTTCTGGGTCTCAGCTTCTTCATCTGTTCATAATGGAAATAATAGGGTCTTTATGAGAACTAATTGAATGAAGTGTTAAAATTTACTTGGCACATTATAAATACACAACAAATTCTAGCTATTATAGTTTTAAAAATTTAAAAAGTAAAATTTTAGCTGGGCACAGTGGCTCATGCCTGTAATCCCAGCACTTTGGGAGGCCAAGGCAAGAGGATTTCCATAGCCCACGATTTTGAGACCAGCGCAGGCAACATGGTGAGACTTTGTCTCTACAAGAAATCAAAAAATCAGCTGGGCTTGGTGGCGCACACCTGTAGTTCCAACTACTTGGAAGGCTGAGGCGGAGGGAACACCTGCACCCAGCAGGTCGAGGATGTGGTGGCCATGAGTGTGCCACCAGCCTGGGTGACAGAGTTAGACTCTAGCTCAAAAATAAATAAATAATTAGAAAGTCATTTTTTTCTCTCTTCCTCAAGCATCATTCCTAACAGATAAACATTATAAATAGTTTCATTTGCATTGAATTCGTTCTGTTTGGATTGTGTGTGTATGTTTACAAAAAGAGAATCTATTTTTTCTTTTTTGAATTGGAGTCTTTTTCTGTTGCCCAAGC